TTCAAAATAAGATATGTGCAGTGTGCATAGGAATTTGTTCATAGTTTTGTTTTTTTTTTAAACTATAGTCGGGCCCTCCAATGGGTCTGAAGGACAGTGAACTGGCCCCCTGTTTAAAAAGTTTGAGGACCCCTGTGCTAGGGCAATACCTGTCCCGCCTGGTCTGGTCAGCACCTCTCACTAGGCCCAGAGCTGGACCCAGCTCATTCCCAACTCCTTCACTCGCTGTTTGGAGGGGGAAAATTGGAATCAATAAGACAGAGACAAAAGGTTTTATTGGGTGGAAAACACTAGTTTTAAAAGGATTTTCTTGGCACACGTTAGTCATATGAGGATTTTGATCAGCTTCTGTGCCAGACACGGTGAGGGGAGCGTCCCCAGGGGGACATCTGAAATGACGGGTTGTCATTGACTTCATCAGTGGGGGTGGCTGGGACCCATTTATTGAGTTTGGGCATCTGCACTCCACAGATAGTTAAGACTTTTTCTAATTATTTACACTTTCTCCAAGTTGTTGGTGGCCGGCAAGGAGGGCGTTTTCTTTGACATGGCATAGGTGGGCCCTGGGTGCTGGTGACCCAGCAGGCCTCCTGGGGACAGGTGTCACTTGAAGGAACCTGAGATGGTTGCCTGTGTGGTTTCCCAAGGTGGCCTGGCCTGTAGTGTGGCAGGCTGCCCGAGTGTGTTTCTATGTGGGGAGTAGGGTGGGTGGCAGTGTGTGTGTATGTGTTTGTGTGTGTGTGTGTACAACAGTATGTGTGGGGGTGGCAGCAGTGTGTGTGTGCACACGCACGCGCAGCAGAGAAGTCACACTGACTAGCTTTGGAGATAGAACATTCTGGCAGGTTCTCGGCCTGGTGTCAACCACTCTTCTTTCACAGACCTGGTCACCGACTTTGACTTCTCTCCCTTCGATGACTTCCTTCTGGCCACAGGCTCAACCGACAGGACGGTGAGTGGAGCCCATGCAGACTGCCCATTGCCTTGTCCCCGTTTCCCCGCCAAGAGAAACCTTCTGAGCCCCATGGAGTTGTGCTACCCACTCAGTCCAACTCCTCCCCTCCCACCAGGGCAAACAGCCCAGCTGCCAGGCGTCCCTGGGAGGCCCCCCCCCCTCCGCAAATGGTTTGCACTTTACTCCAAAGCTTTGGACCCACCCAAGCTGTGCCAAGGAAGAAAGGCCAGGCCACCTGCTTCCATAAAGATGGCAGCCAGTAACATCCTGTGGAGCTGTTCTCTGTAGCACAAGGGTGACGGCAGCCAGAATTAGGACCTCCTCCCACACCAGTTCCTGTGTGCTAGCTAGGGGCCATGATGACAGCTCTGACTGCTGGCATAGGAGGGGACGCAGGATGTGGAGAGGACCAAGTGGAGCCTCCAAAAGCCTTGCTCTCTCGTGGCTGCTCAGTTCTCTGCAGCTCTGGAGTTGACCTCCCTTCCCCACCACAGGGTTCTGTGGTGTCTTACGGAGCCCACTGCCAGCAAGGGACAGCAGCAGGTCCCCAGCCCAGGGCTCACACACATGCTTTCTTCTGCAGGTGAAGCTGTGGCGGCTGCCTGCGCCAGGCCAGCCTCTGCCCACAGCTCCTGGGGTGGTGCTGGGTCCTGAAGCCCTCCAGGTAGAGACACTGCAGTTCCACCCCACGGCTGACGGCGTCCTTATCAGCACAGCAGGCCGGGGTGTGAAGATCTGGGACGTGGCCAGGCAGCAGCCCCTCACAGGTATGGGTCCTGCTGGCCTCCTCCTGGAGTACCAGCACCTTCACGGTTGGAGTTTGAAGGGATGAAGATTTTAACGCTTGGACCAAAATACCTCAGCTCTTTCTTCTGCTCTCTTTCCCTGGGTTAGCGTCTCAGGTTGCTCCAATACAGTGTCACCAACTTGGTGTCTTGCACTGCAGGGGCTAACCGTCTCCATTCTGGAGACTTCCAGACGTCTCACTCAGGTCAAGGTGTGGCAGGGCCGGACTTTCTCTGAAGGCTCGCAGGGAAAGTAAGACTTTTCCTTTCCTTTTCTGGCTCCTGACATTCCTTGACACGTAGACATGTCACTCCCGTTTCTGCCTCCATCTTCATAGGACTCCTGTCCCTCCATGTCTCTCTAAGTCTCCACCCCTTTTCTTCCTATAAGGACACCACTCACTGGGCTGGACTGCTCTTCACAAAGCCAGAGGTTTGAATCCACCAGCTGCTCCAGGAAAAGAAATGTTTTTGTGGAAAAGAAATCTTCCATAAAGATTTACAACCTTGGAAATGAGGCCATTCAGTTCTGCCCTACAGGGTCACTATGAGTCAGAATCAACTCGATGGCAGTAGGTTTTGGTTGAGTGTATGTTTCTGTTCTAGAATAGAATAACCTCAATTAGCCTTATTATTTTATTTTATGGTTGAATATATATGAGGGGATTTGAAAAGTTGGTGGAAAAATGGAGTTGCAATCTAACGGAACTTTTCCACAAACTTTTTGAATCCCCTCATGCACTGCAACATAGACACTAACTTTCTAAATGTACAGTTCAATGGCATGGGTGACATGGTTTTACAGCCACTGTCACCTTCCCTTTCTGCATTGTTCCTCCCTAAGAACATCAACTCACTGCCCCTGAGTTTCCCATCTAACCTTTCGAGTTGCTGTGGGCAATGTGATCCCTTATAGGCAGTTGTTAAAAGAACGCAGTGCTCAGAGCAGACGTCCCATACCATTTAAACTAAGCTCTGGTTTGGTGTTAAGAAGACCCCAGGGAATATTTTTGGTGTAAGGTTTAAAGGTTATTTCAGGGCAGTAGTTTCAGGGCTCATGTTTACTTTCCTGAGGAGTCTCTCAGTTGGGTGATTAACATAGTTAATTGCCAACTCAATGGCTAGTGGTTCAAGCCTATCTGGAAATAACCTTGGAAGAAAGTTATGGCAATCTACTTCCCCCAAAGCAACCTTTGACAACCCTATAAAGTATAGCCCAATCCTGGCACATGTGGAGCTGACAGCCCTAGGAAGTACAGCTCTATCCAGGCACATGTGGAGTTGACAGCCCTATGAAGTACAGCCCTATCCCAGCACATGTGGAGTTGACAGCCCTATAAAGTACAGCCCTATCCCAGCACATGTGGAGTTGACAGCCTATGAAGTTCAGCCCAATCCTGGCACATGTGGAGTTGACAGCCCTATAAAGTACAGCCCAATCCTGGCACATGT